GATATTTTTGTACATCCAAACTTGCTCGCAGCTTTTTGCTTGTCTGTGTAACTTCTGCTTGGGTATTTATGTACACCCAAACTTGCTCACAGCTTCTTTGCTTGCGTAACTTTTGCTTGGATATTTATGTACATCCAAACTTGCTCGCAGCTTTTTTCTTGCATTGGATTTTGCTTTGTGACTTTCTGTCTCATAACTCTTGTTAGACCTGTGCATCTTGTAATTAAATTCCTCTGCTTGGAGCTTTTTGGCCTATGTGGCCTTCTCCCAAAAGTTTCTCAAGAGAAAGGTTAGTTTTCTTAAAAACACAATAACTTGCATTATTATTAAGGTTGAAAATTAGAAAATTAGAAAATTAGAAAATTAAAAAGTAAATATACTTAGCTGGATCACAGCTTTCTTTTAAGATTTGTGCATGTAGAATTTTGAGATGTCTATCTTGCCTTGCGAATGCAAAATTTGATTCATCATTTGATGTGGTTGAAGGTGATTGTAACAAAGCTTCTTCAAATATGGAGGTAGTTGTATTCTCCACCTTTTAACAGAGTGCTTGCTTTTTTATCTATCCAATCATGATAAAGCTACGTAGGTATTTAAGTCGCATAATTGAGTTACTAGATTTTGATATCCAGTACATTCTTGCATGTGGCAGATGTTTGCTTATACATCTCTTGCAAGCGCATGTTTATTTATTAGGTGCGTTATGACTCTAAGTTTGACAGTCCTGCAAACATGTATTCCTTTGTGGTAGTAGATCGCCTGCACATGATATCATCTTAAGATTTTCTCCTGCACAGGTTTAGAGCAGAAACAAGCTATATAGATTTTGTTATCTTAATTTCTTTAGAGACATGAGAAAATTGTTAGCGCTTTCATGATCATAATTGATAAATTTATGAAAATAATCATTTAAATATTGTAAAAAGATATGAAACTTATCTGGTAAGTTGTTAATTTGTTCTTGCACTGCTTCATTATGGAATCTTGCTATGTAGGCTCTTAGTGACTCTCTTGTCTTTTGTTTGATTGTTAGGAGATGATGGTTGGTCTTTCGAGGAGCTCAAGTTTGCGCAGCTTTCTTGAAAGTTGTTGGAAATTGCTTGCATAATAGAGCATTCGAGGCTCCATATACTGTCATTGCCATTCTATATCCTTGCACATGCTCCACTGGGTCTTGAGTTCCATCGTATTTAGCTAGCTCTGCCTGCCTACTTCTATTTTTGCCAGATGTTGTCGCAATGCTTCAATTTCTTTGTAAATACCGTCATTATGAACCTGTGTTTCTGCCTTTTGTGGTTTTGTTGTAGTAAATGTAGCCTTATGGACTTGCTGGCTATCCCTTCTTTGGCTTGAATGTGTGCGATGTATCACATTTTGACTTCGAAAATTGTATTGAGTGAAAGCTGAGGATGGTTGCAGACTAGTTTTGGTCGTCAATTCTGTTGGTTTTGAAGGTACGTAACTTTTATCTTGATTGCTGTTTTCCTATATTGAATCTTGCTCATTTCCCTCTAATGTCCTTGCATCACTTTGTGACAAGCGCTCACGCCTTACTTCTTGCAATGACATGTTAGTAGTTTTTGTCATGGATGCTATGGCTTGCTCAATTGCTTTTAAACTTTGCCTCGTCTCCTCCATGTCTTGTGTAAGTTTCTGTATTTGTGATGCCATGGTTGAGTCTGATGGTTTTATTTTATTAACAGTATTTCTTGGGTTTGTTCTTGATGACGAAGAGTCACCCATTCTATCCTCGCTTCTGGAGCTCGGAATACTTCTATGAGGTCGTGATGAATTTTCTGAATTTTTCATGTGGTATTCGTGGATTGAAAAGTGCCGAGCCCCACGGTGGACGCCAAATGTTAACAGTAAAAAATAGAATAAATGGTGTGGAACCAAGATATTTATTGATAGAGAGAGTTTACAATGTAGAGAGAATAATGATGGAAAAATAATCTACCTCCATAGGTTGATTCTAGAGGTATTTATAGGATGCTTAAATATAGTTATTCTAGGAATACAATTTTATTTGATTGGTGTTTGAGATATTCTTATTCTAGTGGGATTTATCTTATTCTATTTTTGATAGGACTATCTCTAGAATGCCTCCACGTGTCCTAATTATCATAGGACTTGTTTTAGGGTATAACACAAACAATCTCGTAATAATCATTCTTATACCATTACATAGTCCTGCTTTTTGATTTAGATTTCTCATGAGGATCACGAGAGCATCGACTTTGAAATTGGGGGAATGAGTGGGCAATCCATTTAACTCTAACCAATTTAGTATTCTATTGGATACTAAAGCTCTATATTTCCGTTATCATCCCTTCCAATCTTCTTATATAATCATGACTGAGGAAAGCAAATTCATCACCAACAACCTGTTTTAACATCAACTTGTTTATGTTATTTACATCAACATTCTTTGGTGTGACAATTGTTTACAAAACAAATTGTTGCGTCACCCTAAAACAAAATAAATAGTAATTAAATATTTATTTTTTTAAAATTAAAGACAATATAAAGTAGACTTATATTGATATCAATACCAATTACTGCAAGAATACCAACTAATTCATCCCTTAATAGAGCAACTACATTCTATATTTGATGGAAATGTAATATGATCTTTGAATAAGATCGTCCCTTAATTAATTTATTAATGATTCGAGAATTAAATTCTATTGCAAGACGGTAAACAACCCTAAAGAAAAATAAAGGTAAATAATATCGGGTGGAATAGGAATGGTTGGGTTGAATAGGAATAGGGAATAAAGTATATATATTATATAAATTGGTATTGAAGTAGGAAATTTTTGTTTTTATGAGTAAGATATTAAGTTCTATTTAAAATTGAATTCTAATGTGAGTTCCAAAATATATGGAATTATTATAAGTATAACTTGAGGTATATATAATAATAACAATTATACATATAGTGCAAAACTTATTTACTTGTTTAAATATCTGTGGGACCCACACAGTGAAATTAATTGAGGTTTATTTTAAAGTCTAATGGGTATTTATTAATTATTTTTTAAAGTCCAATAAATATTTATTTACGAATTTTAAAGAAAATTTTATTATTATAGTAGTTTTATATATATATATTAAAGATGTCAGTTATTCTATTAGTAATAGTTGTTTGTAATAACTAAAGTATATGTTTAATTCCTTATCTTATTAAGTTTAAAATTTTTAGCTTCTTACTTTATACTATAGAGTTTTAAATTCTTGAACTTAAAAGCTTGAATATTGTAGCTCCTAAACCCACAGAACTATCAGTTAAGTAAGCATAAAAAATTTACAGGACTAATTCTCAAATATTAAAAAGGTGACAATTTTAAAAAAGTTAAATGCTAATTTTGATCTCTTAACTTTAAAGTTTTGCATAATTTTCATTATCAAACTTTTTTATGCACTATTTTAATCCTTCAACTATGAAAAATACACTTTTTTAGTCCTTTTATCAGTTAATCCGTTAAGTTATCTAAATATGCACATTTTTAGTCCCTCAACTTCTAATATATGCACATTTTTTGTCTTTTAATTTTAAATTAAAGGAATAAAAATGTGCATATTTAGATAAATTTAATAGACTAACTAACAAAAGGAATAAAAAATTGCATCTTTCATAGTTGAAGGGGTTAAAAAGGTGCATAAAAAAGTTCATGATAAAAATTATACAAAGGCTTAAAGTTGAAGAATCAAAATTGGTATTTAACCTTTAAAAATTAAAAAAAATTAGTAAACTAAAAAGAATTGATGGATGACTTTGCCACATATAAAAAAAACAAATTAGATATTTGAAATCAAATTGAGTAATTAGCTCAATTTAAAAAAAAAAAAAGGAATTTTGACTAAGATTAAAGAAAACTCCTTGATTAAGTTAAGATTAAAAGTCTAAGAGATTGAGAGAATAAATCCAAATGATGGAAATGTATGGCTGTAAAATTGAAAGGTCAAATTTCTCAAAGTGAGTACACTAAACTGACTTGTCATGAGAACACTACATGCTCGTATCATGAGTAGCTTCTCAACTATAATACAAGGGTAAGTGATTCTTTGACTTAAGATCATAATTATTTTATGTGAGGATTTGTGTACTTTAATGCTTTTAAAAGTAGGCATTGCAAGGGGTTCATAGTAGTACAATTTTAAGTGCATCAGAAATTGCAAGAAAATAATGAACAAGTCAAAATAGAATTCATTCCTCTTGAGTTAATGAGAGTAGATATCTCTTGGTCTTTTGATTGATTTGATTGAGATGAAACTACTTTAAGTCTATGGCTACAATGTGATATCACTTTGGGTGCATCATGCTTCTTATCTGATCAAGATATTAGTGATGAAGGGACTGAATTATACCAATGTATTGATTACAAGAAAGTTACTTGAAGCCATTGATATTTCTATCACTTTGGGTAGCCATGATGCATTACTAGATATCATTCTTGGTTTGTGGATATTGCTCATTGCCATTGTGATAGAAATGTAAAGGTCATACACATTGTGCATTTTATGGAACTGATATGAATGTGAGATTTCTATAATTCCAAATTTATAGAAATAGATTAATTTATATAAAATATTATTTTCACAAGAAAAATAAATAAATTAACTTTTAAAATTAAATTAGTAGTATGATTTAAATTTATTTAATCGAAATTGGTTCAAGATTGAATTGGTTCAACAATTAGAACCGAAAAAATCTAAGGTGGGATAATGTTGCCCATTTATGCACATGGATAAAACCCTAGTCCATGTGGAGTAGGGCTTGGGCAGCACCATGTACTAAGGGTGTGCACTTTATAAGACTAGGGTGATAGCTAGGATAGGAAAATAAGGAAAGAAAGTCCTTTCCATCCTTGACTAAAGGATGAAGTATAAATAATTCAAATTGGATTAGAATTACTATTTTCTTCACAACTCCTATTAGAATAAATAGGAGTAGAAAATATTATTTTCTTCTACATTACTTCATTGTAGACCTAAGCCACCAAAAGAGAGGAGAAAAATATTCTTTCAAGAGAAAACTCTTTTGGCTACACATAACAAGGAGAAATAACAAGTTTATTTTTCATGGTTTTATTTTGTAGAACCACTATGAAAAAAAAGAAGAAAGCATCAAGATTATGTTTAGCTAATATTAGAGAGTTTTGATCTTTTCTTAATCCGTAAGACATGTGTGGATTATCACTAGAGGAGATCTACCCTTGTATTCTAGGCTTCGGGCAAAGTTTGCAAATCAAAGCTAAACCACAACGAGGCACACTCCATTGAGGTATTGATTGCTAACCTTCCTTGATAGAGGAAATTTTAAAATTTTGCTTTTGCACCTTCTCAAAAACCCAACAATAGGCATAGTAGGGAAGAAAGATTCCAAAATATCAAAAGGTTATCTAAAACCTAAGGAGCGAGACACTAAAGGCACCTGAAAGTATTTTGCATGAGGAAATTTGCCCTCATCAAAACAAACATGCCAAGAAAAAATAACTTGATGAGTAGTCAAATTCAAACACTTATTGCCCTTGTGATGTTTAGAATACCCTAAAAAAATGTAGAGTGCAAAATGTGATTCTAAACTTATCTGAGGATATGGCAAATAAATTTGGATGGTAAATACATCTAAAGATACATAGATGATCATAAGTAGGAAGCACTCTATATAGAATTTCTTAGAATTTTATATGGAGTTTGAAATTGTAACCTAAAAGTATGTAAAATATTAAGAAGGTGAATGGCAAAATGCAATGCTTGCACTCTAAATTTTTGGGTAATTTTGCTTAAACGAGAGAGAACAAAGAATATTGTCAATAGTTTTATTCATGTGTCTTGCTATCCCATTTTCTTAGAGAGTTGAGTGACAAACAAATCTTAATTGAATTCCAATATTTTTAAAAGTGAAGGAAAATTGTGTATTGTCATATGCTTTACCATTATCACACTATAGAGACTTAATTTGAGGACCAAATTATGTAGAGACAAAAGTAGAAAATTGAAAGAAACAAGAAAAGACATTGAGTTTGGATTTAATAAGATATACTTATAGATAATAAGTAAAATTATCCAAAAAGAGAGCACAATATTTAAAGCCTCCAAAAGAACAAGTAGGAGAGGTCAACACATCTCAATGACTTAATTGGGAAGGTGTTGTTGACGACCACACTTAAAATTAAAAAAAAACATTAAGTTATTAAGTGTGAAAAATATAAAAAGGAAGTTCTCACTCGTTCAAATTATAAGATGGGACAAGCCATCTAAAAAAAACAAGTCTGCGCAGAGATTAAAGTTTGAGGGTTCGGTTAGGAGTGAAAAATGACATATGTACGCCTCACAATCCTCCATTTAAATATAGTTGCATACTTTAACCTTGGGGTTTAATTCAACTTACTCATTATATTTATATTTAGGTCTTAATAAACAATCTTGAAAAAGAGATAAACCAAATTGAAACAATTTTAAAATTTTTGGATTGAAATGGATGCAATGTAAGACATGCATGTACCACAGCACAAATAAAAATTAAGTGGACTGGTTTGATTAAATTCAAAAAAAAAAAATGGATGACCGAATTGCTTAATCATAAAACTTTTGGATGAAATTAAGATAAAATGAAAAAATAACTTTGACTTTGACCCAAATTAAAGAAAATTGAGGATTGAAATTAATTAATCAAGATAATTAATTTAATGAAATAATTCATTTAACATTAATTAAAATTAATTAATCACACTTACTAATCTTTAATTGAAATAATCAAATAAATGTAATTATCTCCAATTAAATTCAATAAATATTGTTAATTTATTTTAATTAAAATTAATTAACTTTATTAATAATAAATTAAATTAATTCACCTAATTAATTAATAAAACTTATAAATATTTTTTACTTTTTAACCTTTTTATTTATTTATTTATTTTTTTGTGACAGACATATTGGATCGAGTCGGGTTAACTTGACCCAAAAACACAAACCCATCAATCAAAATCGGCAAAAATAGATTAAAATCTGGACCAAAATGAAATCTGGACAGAGACAAAAAGGAATCTAGGATTTATGTTCAGCCATCCAACAAAACAAAACCAAAGAAAGCAGATAAACATCCATTCAAATTCAGATCCATGAAATTCAACAAATATGCTTGATTTCATTCACAATATCATCATTTAATACAATTTCAATACAGCAAAAATCTACGACAATCAGAATCAAACAAGACGAAATTTCTGAAAAAAAGCAGATTAAGATACAAAGGGATCCCAGCCACGGGATCAAGCTCCCTTCTTCTCCCTCATGGCTCTTCCCAAAAATTCCTCTGTTTAGAAATTACCTAAGAGAATAAAACCCAGAAGATGCTAACTCTCTGATGACTCCTCTGGAAACTCCACGAAATCTCCCTCTACTGCTCTCGAAAACCCAGACAGAGACTCCCAAAACCAAATCCCGAAATCAACCAAAGAACCCCCCCTGATCTGATTTTTTTTTTCTATATATGTACCCAAATAATAAAATAAAATAAAAATGAAAAACAAAAAAAAAACTTGCTCCATCAATCACTGATGATGCCGATTTTGTCTGGTATGCGCTATTTCTTCTGTAAGTGAGGCAAGGACAGGGCTGTAGCAAGTAGGAGTGCAGAGGCCCGGGATTGGGGGCGCAGCAGTACAGGGGCGTAGGATCGGTGCAACTGCAAGGGCGCAAGCGGCAAGGGCAGGGGTGTAGGCGTGCAGGGGGTAGGGCACGATGCAGAAGAGGGGGGTGCAGGAGGCGTGCAGGGGGGCGTAGGAGTGTAGGAAGTAGGGCGCAGGCGTGTAGGGGGGGTATGATTGCTGGAAGTGGGGCTCAAACGTGCAGGGGTATGATTGCCGGAAATAGGGGCGCAGAGCAGGGGGCACAGGCTCGGTACAAAGGGGAGAGGAAGCTAGTTCGAGAGGGAAGATTCTGGAAGAAAAGGGAGAAGGCCGAGGTGTGAAGGAAGAAGAAGGTTCTCGAGAGCAAAAGATTTTAAGTTTTTAACTTTTTTTTTCTTTTTCTTTTTTTCTTTTTGTTTTTGGGTTAAATGGTTTTTTGGGTTAAATGGGTTAAATGGGTTAAATGGGTTTTGGGTAGTTGGTGGGCTTGGGTTTTTGGATTTTTGGGTTTGAGGCTTTAAATTGAAATGGGTTGGTGTTGGGTTGGGTTTGGTTTTAATGGGCTAGATTTATAGTTTAAAGGATTTCACCCCCCAACTTTTGATCTCTTCAATTGAGTCCCTTGTTTTAATTTCTTTCACCCCCCTCTTCCAATCCTCTTCCCAAAATCTCTTTTTTTTTGGCTCATGAACCTAACAAGGAAAATGAAGACAAAACATATTATTTAAAATAAAGATAAAAATAAAAATAAAAATAAAATTTTACTAAATTTTGAGTTATGACAAGTATAGAAGTGATTAACATTGAATCTTGAAAGGGAAGTCTAATATGTTTTTCCAATTGACAAGCCGGACATAAACTAGAATTATTAGATAATTTATTAGCAAGAATTAAATCACAATGAACTAAATGATCAAAAGAAGATAAGCCAAGATGAGCCAAATAACAACGCCAAATTTGAGGGGAGATAGACATGAAAAATTACTAGTGATTGCCCATGAAAAAAGTTTAAAGCCATTGATACTATTATAGCAAAGGTGGCATTCTGCATCTATAAATCTTTAACACAAAAACCATATGTATCAAAATTGACACTATAATTATTATTCTATGTAAATTGATAAACGAAAATCAAATTTCTAGAGATGTGTGGGCAAATCAAAACATTACAAATTTGCAAAGCATGATTATTAGATAGAAGTAACTAACTACCAACATGAGACCTATTGCCATAAAATCATGTGCCACATCCTTGGTTGTTCCTTCCACCACGATTTCTTCCTTGAGACCGATAAGAACCAAAATATGTAGTAGAAAAATCACTTGAGTTTTGTGAATAATTTAAAGTAAAAAGAACTTGTAGAGAAAAGAAGGATATAGTAGCCATTATTATCATATCAGTTTCACAATATGTTGTTGCCTCTTTTATCAATAACAATGAATGAAATTGCAAGAAAGATAGAAAATTAACTCTTTGTGGTATGGTATGTTTGGATAAATTGTATTCATTATTGTTGGCCCAAAAGATGGAACCCAAAAGGGGGTTGAATTGGATTCTTGAAGACTTACAGAATTTTTGTAATTAAATTGATGAACAAGCAAATCTAATCATAAATACATAAACTCAAGTGCAAAAATTAGAAGAGTAAAGGGAAAAAAAATTCAAGCACAATGATTTATAGTTGTTGGTCACAATTTGTCTCTAATTCACTCCTCAAGCCGCTTACTTGAGAGTTAGATTTGAATTCAAACATTCTTATCAAACTTGCGTATTTAAAGGCAATCATGCACAATACCTTTGTTGGGACTATTCACTTTAAACAACTCGTCTCTTTATTACAATCTCTCTCAGACCCAATCCTAACCACTATGATTGTTTTCTAGATCTAACATGGATTCCCCCAAACACTCTTTCACTTTTGAAAGAGTAATTAGATGATGTAAGAACAAACATAAAGCACAAAGAGCAAGGCTTGATAATTGAACATTTCTCACAAATAAGAACTAGAGTTTCTTTGCATTTTTCATGCTTTTTAGAGTTCATTTATATACTTTTCACACTTAAAACAAAGTCAAACTAACCATTGTAACCTAAAATGGATAGTTTTTTTATTTCCTTATGGTTTAAGATTTCATTGAAAGTCCCAAAACATTTTTGATATCTTTCATAACTTTTAAATATCCTTGCATTTGTGAGAAGAGTCATAGAGCAACAATGTTTTAGAACTTAAAATCAAGTTTTGGAATTTTATGTTAGTTTCAAATGCTTGATTTAGAAAACACTTATATAAGGAAACTTGGCCACAAAAATAGAATCTAAAGTCTTGTAAAAATTAAGCCTCCTGTTGGGTATAATATCCAAAGAATGAAAAATTGATCTTTGGCCAAGGAAGGATATTGAAGGTGTGATTTAAATACTCCAAAAAAGGAAATTGCAAATAATTCTATGAATAAGTTTTCTAAACTTGAATGTGAGATTTTTTAAGTTTGAAAATATTGACAATCATGATTTAAAGACTTATATTTCATATTAAGAACAAGTGATTTTGGTAATTATCAACAATTAAGAACAACAATTATCCAATCTAGCAAATATCTTAATAACTAATTCATTATCATAAGATGATTGACCAATTTTATGTTGAAAACCCAAAGACTTATTCAAATTTTTATCTTAATTAAGTAATAATAAATCATACAAACAATATAAA